CAACCCCCAAATCCACCCAGCAGTCACCTGCTGAGTAATTTTGTATGCCTAATCTCTAGCCCTTAACTACAAGCTTTCTGCTAATTTGAGGCAAATGGGTATTTTTGACACTAAATAGGGCAGTAAAGAATCCCTGACCTAGAAAAACTCCATTCCAAGGCACTGAGAGCAGAGAAATACTCTTTCAGCATCCTTGTGAGACCTTTGGAATGACATAAAATAGCTTTGACTAAACTGTGCTGCAGCCTTCGATTAATGGTTTGCAGAAACTTGCTGAACATCCCTACTACAACTTCCCCCATAAAACTTGTCACTTCAGATTGCCATCAGCCACCACAACAATAATCATTTCATGCCTATTGCTAATTGCAAGCACAGCTGAGGCTCAGCGGGGTGCTCTTGCACAGTCCCAGGCCTTTATACCAGCCTCAATCTGTTGTATGGCACTTGTTCACACACAAAAAAACTACCAGTAAAGGCAGAAAGAGGCAGAGTCACAGGTTCCTTGTAATCCCTCTGCTACCCTGCTGACAACCCAGCCCTATAAGCATTCCTGGTTTTGTCCCACTCTTTACAAAAGCTGAAGTGACCTTAAGCTACTAGTATGTAAGCTTTTGAATGAAGAATACAGCTCCTTCAGGTGCCTTAAGAAGCAGTGTTGCATCTGGCTTACGAGATTCTGTTTGCAGCACCCCTGGGGCGAGCTGTGGCTTCCTGTAACATGTAAAATATGAGTGTGAACTCAAGGTTCATGGCAAGGAACAGGAGGTCATGCTTCCATTCAGCTCACACCAAAGAAGACGGGGGTTTGCAGATGTTCCTGGGTATGTGTAATGACACCACCTCCCGGAAAGCGCAGGAACCCAGCACAGGGCTTTTTTTTTTTCATAAAATATGCCACACTCAGTGTGTTACTTGCAGATTTATTCATATCAATTTTTGCAATTTATGTATTCAGAGACAAACTTGCTATTTCAGCAACTTATTGATCATGCTTTTGCATTAAAAAAAAGGGGGGGGGGGAACAAGGAAGCTTCTTGCTCGAGCTGGTTGAGGTGTTGCATGGGCAGTCGTGGAAGTCCACCCCTTGGCATGCTTCAGCTCCTCTAATGCCTGTCCAGGAGCATCCCAGCCAGCCCATGGCCCACCTCATCTACCCAGGCTAGCACCTAGCAGTGAGGGTCACTGTGAAAGACAGAAGGGGAACAGGAAAACTAACCTGAAAGAGGGATTAAATTGCTGGCCATGCACATACGGTATCTACTTGCGGTTACTGGGCTCTGATAGCATCTAAAGAGCATCTGTTTGCATTTCCTCTGCTGTTAGCCAGGTCACACCACGCAGCGGGGGCTGCGACGCACCTCCATGGGAGCCGTGGTCCCTTCCCCGCTGATGTCCCGGGGGATGTGTGGCATCCACCACACATCCCCTGGGATGCACCCTCCACAGCCGTCCCTCACCCCGTGCCCCCAGACTAAATGCAAATTGTCCTCTGAGTGATGGGCAGGGATGCCAGCTAGCATCAGTAATGTGTGTGTGCAGCAGCGAGATATGTGGAGTTGGGGTCCATGGACCTGGGAGCATCAATGAGGTCTTACTCGTTCTTTACAGCCAGGTGTGAGGAGTTTTGAGAAAATATCTTTATACTAGTTACTTCTGTGTGCCCACGCCACAGCTTAGCTGGCCCTGGGGCTCCAGAAATGTGCCTGAAATGTGTTGCAGCCCCATGGTAAGGCCCCAAAGTTCAGCATTTGGGCTGTGCCCTCTGCACCTTGTGTATGGGGACAAGCCACAAGGCTGGAGCCGGAGCCCCGAGGAGCCCCGCATCCCCGGCACGCGCCCCACTGCCCTTTGGGGAATGGCAGACCCACCCGGGGGGAGCGAGGCGGCCGGTGTCCCGACAGGACCACGCTGCGCTCTTTTGTCTGAAATCATCACGTTTGCGTTTTGGAGCATTTGGCTTTGTTGTTGTTTTTTTAATAATATAATCACATGCAAATGTTATCTTCTTTGGTAGGTTAGTCATGAATCAGAGGGCTTGTGCGTCTTATAGCACATCAACACTAGTGATAGCTAAAGGGAACATTTAATTTATGGGCTAACTTATTTTTATGAATATGCAGGGCTTAAATTCAGCAGTTGGTGTGTGCTCTATGAAGTGACGTGACGGTTTTGTGTATCAAGATCAATGAATTAGACTTTGTCTTCTTCTCATAAAGCAGAAAGTCTGTGGAGTAACTTAGCTTTGAGAAAGAGAGCTCCTTTCATGCAGCCAAGCAATACGCCTGGCTGAGCCCTTGTCAGCCAGTGCTCAAGAGGAGAGGGGTACAATTCGGATTCGGCTCGGAGGAGTTTCTGTCTCCCCAGAATCCAGCGTGTTGGAGTGCCTACCAGAAACACAGAAAAATCTTTCATTTTGCTTAATCTGAAGGTCTCGCAGCAGCAAAGTCACCTTGCCGATAACCTCCGGGCAGAGGTTATAATTTCTGTTTCAGATCCATACAGCGTGTAGGTGTGCGTGGCACGGGACAAACAGAAATGGCAGGACCTGCCCCCGCCGGGGACTTCTCATCTCGTTTAGAGGTGACATAAACACCCGGCAGATCGTTTTGTGGAGGACGAGAGGCAGCAGTGGAAGGGAGAGGGAGTGCGTATGCAACATACAGTCACTTCGTTCCTCTTTGATTTAAAGAGGTGGTGGAAGAAGGCGTTTGGGTGACCGGGGCGTCTGTGTGCCAGCGCAGCCCTGGGTCACAGCTGATGTCACCCAAGAACATGACTCATTTAAGCATGCTGACTGCAGGAAAGTAACATTATAAACATTAACGATTTCTCTCTTTTGCCCACGTGGGCCCCCAGCATTACAAGGGAACCCAGGCAGATCCCCCAGCGACAGCAGTCGCTTTGTGTCAACCCCCCGCCTCCAGCTGGCTGCTGTCCGACCTGGGTGGTTGTCCCAGCACCCACAGGCACCCGGGGCTCTCTGGGGATATCCAGGGATGCTCTGACCTCTCAGACTGGTCTGAGGGATTGGAAGGTATGAAGACCCACCAGACCTTCATGTCTACTCTGCTGGTCAGGCCTACACCAGCTAACCAAGGTGCTTCACTCACAATTCAACCCCAATCTGACGTCAGGACCTCAAGTGAGAGCTAACAGTATCTGAGCTTGACTTCTGTTACGGGGAGAGCTCCTGCTTGCCCGTCTGAATTAGTTTCATTCGAGCTCTTGGCTCTTGCCAGGTCTCCATCCTGGAGATCAGGAATCTCTGCCACAAGTTACACAAGGTATAAGCACCGAGCAAGAGATCACCACGTGCCATTCTTTGGTGACTCTTCCATCCCTTTATTTCCTCCATTTTATTAAGAAGTGGTGTAGAAATAGAAGTACAGGAACATCTTCATTGAAAAAGGTATTTTTTGAAAAAAACCCTTCCCTGTGCAGCATGACTAACCTCTGCTGTCTGCTCCTGGTGGAGGGTAGCAACGCCCAGGTGCATTACCGTACGGTTCAATAATGTGTGTTGAGCCCACATTTTTGTGATGCTGGGCTGGTTTAGCTTGGACTCATTTGTTTGCTTTGGTGAGCTTTGTGCCAGCTTGTGGGTGCTCCAGGACAGCAGTGTCTGCGGGTCCCGATGCTGCCAGCTGAGCCCTAAGCAGACGGGCGCTAGCCTCTCAGCCGGTGTTGAAGGGTGGAGGGTAACAAGTCACCGGCCGCAGTTTTGCAATTACAGAATATTCAGTTGTCTCCATTCAACTGCTGCGCTGGCAGCTTCAGCAGCTAGAGGGAAGAGGGCATGTTCTGCATCAGAGACCCCCACCCGAAGGCGCAGTGAAGGGAGGCAGTAATACCTGCGTTAGACTGATGAAGGTTTTAGGTTAGTTGGGAGGGAGCTGCATCTCAGACTAACATGGATGGCACTCGATCGGGATTTTTATAAACTGGTCCAGTGTTCGGTTTTTTGAACTTGTTCTAGAGTAATTGCAGCTGGTCTGCAGTATAGGTTTTGATCTGTGTGCGTGTGTGTAAGAGAGATTGTGAGAGAAGGGTGTGACCGTGCATACAGAGGCGTGATGGGGTTTTGTATGCAGACCACTTTGTAATCAACCGTTGTGCTGAGCGCCATTGGGGAGGTTTTTGTGATTCCCCCCCCCTCCCCAGCCGCTGCTTTTCCTTCTCTCGAGGGCTCACTGCTCATCTGTGTGGCGTCAGACGTGCAATGCCAGCCCTGCGTGAGCGGGGCGCTGATCCACAGCCCACCGGAGACTTCCTGCACTGCAGGGCTGGCAGGCTGCTGCTAGACAGCTGCGAGCCTTTTTCACAGACGAGCAGCAAAATTTCAGCCCCTGGAGGGGCACTGTGAGTTCAGCAGCTTGAAACAAGCTCATTTGTTTGCTGCTTTTCCATCTTTCATAATTGTGAGGGTGAAACCAAAGCATTTCCCGCACAGCCTGGGCAGGCGTCTGTAGGTGCTTACACCAGCATCCTCACCCGCAGCCAAACCTTGCCCCCCAGGAGCCTCCCCTCCACTCGCCGTCAGGGAACCAGACTCGCCCCGTGGCTGGTTATGTTTGAATTTCAAGACGGTAAGTAGCTTGAGTGTGGGTCTGACACACTTAAAGGCAGGAGTGTGCTCTCACTGCGGGGGCGGGGGGGGAGACACAGGTTAAAAAATGGATTGGGCCAAACGCACACCACTGCTGGCAAGTCCCGTCAATGGCAAAATCAGATTACAAGAACCTTGCGGTGTTGCTGGTGGCCGTTACCCCTCCTAATAAGTTTGTTGTTGTTATTGTTATTAAAATTTAAAAGCTCGTGCCTGGAAATTCTGTGTAAAAGAGGGCGCCTGTCTCCCCCTCTAAGTCTGTCATAGCCCGTCAACAGGCTGGCTAGTGGGAAAGGTTGGTGCTGACTGTATGCCGGGTGCCGCCTGTGTTACTCAGGGCACAGCACGCAGCCCTAACGTGGTTGCTGGAGAAGTCCTGTCTCTCTTGCAGCAATGGTACACCAGCTCGATGAACGTTGTCTGCACCTGGCTGACAGACCGCATGGACCTGCAGCTTCACATTTATCAACTGAAAACTCTCATTAGGATAGTAAAGGTAATCGTCCGATGTGTTTTCGCTACTGTCTCGCTGTCGGAAGGGGCGTGTGCGTATGCCTGCATGCCTGCGGCATGTTCTCTTAGGCAAACTGTCGCTGGCAAATATATTAAGCCATTCATTAAAATTCTTAAAAATTAAGATACTTTTGTGTATGGCATGTAGCAAAGGATAAACAGGAACTTGAAATGCATATAGATGCAAAATACAGGTGTGCAAATAAGAACAAGGGAAACTCTATTGCTATTCGACCCTACCTGTACAATAAGCACACCAAAATTAGCCTTTTTGTGGACAAACGTGTTGATCACACCAATGAACTCCAGTGTTAAAAGGGGTTAAATCAAACCAAAAGTTTTTAACACTGTTCTACTAGAAACATTTAAGCCCAGCTATGGCTTGTGATTATTGTCAGAATGCAAATGAGGATTGTTCTCATGGTTAATTGAAGTTGTTTCTTTTACCATGGGTGTATATAATCAACTGTAAGAGATCACAAAGGTGAGATAACATACCCTGAAAGTAACATTTTTTTCCTTGCGTGCACGTGTATGTGTATATGTGTGTGTGTGCGTGCCTTGGACTAATGATAATTATTTCAGTGTGAAATCGCAGTGGTTTACATGAAATAATAAGATCACAGAAGGGGGTAAATATATTTTTGATCATTTTAGGTTCTATCTAATGCTTTTTTGGTCTAGTATTTTATAATGTTTATGGTCTTGTGTGCAGTGAACACATTGAAGGCATGAATAAATTAAAACTGAAATGTATTAAATGTGCTTTTCATAACTGAAAACAACAGGCACTGACAAATTATTTCTACTTGTCAGCTAGCTGAGGAAAGCTTTCTTCCTTGTGCTTTATTTATACCAATATTACATTCAGAAGCAGCTACAACAAATCCAAGGACTTTGTGAAATAGCAGAACAGTAAATAGTTTCCACGCAGAGCACAGAGCAGAATTAAATGAACTACGAGGCCAGAGTTTTATCTCACAGAGTCGAGAAATTTTTAAACATAAATTCAAATGAGAGATACTAATCATAATAAGGGAAACATAGCTAACTATGGAAATGCAACCCCAGTTTCAGAATTAGGTGAAGAGTGAGAGATTTAAGAAACACATGCCGTGTGCTTACGTTTATACATCAACAATTTTCCCCAGTATCCTGGACTTAGCTTATTTAAGCCCAATACTGTAGGTAGGATTATTTAATACGGAGCATTCTGGGAACGTGTAATCACATCTGCAGCTACGGGCGATAAGCATTCTGCTGCGTGAAGAAAAATAACTGACGTTACAGGCAGATGAATGCATCCAGAAGCAAGGAAAGTTAGTTGGAGCAGAGCCCTTATCTGTTGCTTCGATGTCTTTTTAGACCCCAACCTACCATATGTAAAGCTCCCCTGAGCAGCCCCCAGTACATCCCTGCTTTGAAGCCTTTATGCAGCCACACGGCCCGGCCACCCTGCGGGCCCCGCGAAGGCAGGGCTGGAGTCGCAGAGCTGTGATTTCTTGCTCGAGGCACCCTAAAGGGACCTCTGCCACGGCAAAGCAGTGGCCGGCAGAGATGCCCCCCCCCCCCCCGCGTGGGCAATGCAAGAAGTCCCCGGGGCGGGGATTTCCCCGGCATCCCAGCGTCTTCCATTAGTGGCCCCAAACTCCAGGCATGGGGGCGCGGGCTGACTCCTGCAGCGAAGCGGGGGAGCCGGTGTCGGCCCTGACCTCTGTGCTGTCTCCTCCTTCGTCCGTGCCTCTCCCCGCTTTAGAAAACGTACCGGGATTTCCGATTGCAAGGTGTGCTGGACTCCACCTTAAACAGCAAAACCTACGAGACCATCCGGAACCGGCTGACAGTAGAGGAGGCCACGGCGTCGGTCAGCGAAGGCGGAGGGCTCCAGGGGATCACCATGAAGGACAGCGATGAGGAAGACGAAGAGGATGACTAGGGAAGCTGGCCCGGAGGACCAGCTGGGGGTCGCCTGGTATCCGTGCATGTACCTCGTCTGTAACTCAGTTAGTTAGCCACTTTAGGAATTTTTATGTCAGCTCTAAATGCCCATGAGAAGTTTACCAATACAAATGCCATGTTAGCTGTGTGGTAATAAGATTAGCACCTCTCTTTGATTCATCGGTTTCCTAATTTCATATCTATATGTTCATAAGCAATATGGAGCACCATTGTTTAATACTGTTAATGGAAAAACTACATAGAAAACATGCTAGGTGTGTCCCTGTTATAATTAAAGTTTAAACAATGCTTCATTAATGTACTGTATATACATTGATGGTAAACTGTTGTGAAGATGAGTGACTCGAGTCCTTTCATTTCTTTGTTTCTCTTCTGTGGATGCCAACTGCTTAAAATTAATAAAAAACCAGCTTTGTTTTTAAAAGAAGAACGAGGCAATTACAAATGATTTTTTTGTTCTCTCTGTTCATTTAAAAACCAGAAAACAAACAAACCCAGACAGCCGTTTGAATCATTCTGCATCCTTGTTAATGTACCAGGCTCTACCCTTCAATATGCAGTTAACTCCATAGAGGCTACATCCCAAAGGATTAGTCATTCTAATTGCCACACCAGATTAATCCTATCATTATGGATATATCATGCCACATTACAAGTCCAAAGCAGTTGTTTTATGTTGACGTTTGCTCCTCTAAATGTTACATTTTTGTTTAAATTTCAAATACACGTGTATGTACAAAGACAACTTTAATTACAATCTTAGACTATACAAATGTGTTTATAATAATATATTGAATATTTATTTCAGTAGATTGTAACCATAATTTACAATTCCTCTGTTTCACAATGGTTTTTATATGTCATGTACATTGCATTTTGACCAGTAACTGCATGTCCATCAGTCCTCCCTCCAGAGCTTTTACTTTCTGTGTAAAATAGTGATCCATCTTGCTTTTTTGCCTTATACAAGCCGACAGTTGTAAAAGTGTGAGAACTGTGGCTTCTCAATAAATAACTATTCAGATGTCCTAAGAATAAATTATGGAGTCTTTTTATGTCTGCCTTAGAAAAAAAAAAAATTACAAGCTGAGATGTAAGAGCCCCCACCTCTCAGAATAAAGGCATTTTCTTTTCTCATGGGTGTTTTTACAGTTTATTAATTAAGAAGACGGTTTCCTGATCTGCTCCCAAAGGTCAGGGTGGCACCAGACTGTATATTCCCCAGGCACAAGGACATTTCTGCTGTCACCTCCGCAGTTGTTTCCACCGTTATCTGCTCTCTACGTCCTATGATCTGTCTCTGGATGTCTAATTGATGGTCTGCTCCGGTACAGCCCCTGTTGTTACGTGGGAATCGGCCTTGCCTGACACTCACCCTCCACCAAGAGGCCTCAGTTTGTATTTTAACTTCTCCCAAAGCAGCCAATTGCAGCAGCCTGCAGGGCACTTACAAACACACGGCACGGGGCAGATGCCTAGCTGAAATTAAAAAGCAGGCTGGTTTGATGGAAAGCATGTTAGGTTGGGAGTTTTCTAAGAGCTTTTGCAGTCACTCCCTCCCCTCAGCCAATTCAAACCGCATACGACTCCTGCTAGCCCGGGTTTCAGTCATTTGAGAGAGAAGCAGAAGAGCTGATGTCCTTCACCCCCAAGCACAGCAACCTGTTGCCACCCTGGGGAATGAGGACAAGTGTTCACCACCCATAAATAAAAGATGGGAAAATGTTGGAAAAACGTCCTGCCTGGATGAACCTGCCTGACATAATGAACCGTTAAACTAAACCATCTTCCAGTGCCCAAGAGCCATGAGACGCTCCATGGACATATGGGAGGAGGGGACCTCTGGGAACAGCCAGTGAAGGGGGTGTTGGCTCCCACATGGGGCTGGGATATTTATGGAGCCTGGAGCACATTACCTGTAATGCTGGATTTTGGGTCCCTTCCCTCTGTGGCAGAGTTTACCACCTAGCTCTGGAGGTGCTCTGCAGCCCCATCTGGATGGCCATACCCTACACATTCAACACACACACCCCCACCCCCACCCCCCACCTAGGCACAGGGACATTAGCAGCGTCTTTATATTGACGGTTGGACTCGATGATCTTGGAGGTCTCTTCCAACCTTAATGATTCTATGATTCTGTGATTTAGGAGTGGGTAGTAGGCATGCACATTTAGCACCATTCACATGTTGATAAGCCATTTGATGCACTAGCATAGGCGAGTTTTGAACCCTGACTGTAGCCCAGCAGACCACTTCTTGGTTTTTGTCTTGCTCCATGATGCTGGTAGAGGGAAGCATTGCCAGGAAAAGCCACCTCTGAGGACTTAGGCAGGAACGCGGCCTTGTGGCCACTAACACAAGAAGCTCTTCCCCCTTCTTACCCATCCTCCGGCTGTGCAAATACTTGGTCCTAAATCCCCAGAGGAACTGAGGTAGCAGTAGAGTGTTTAAGTCATACTGAGTCCACCAAAACCAGTTCAGGTGCCTCTGCAGGAACCAGTTCAGGTGCCTCTGCAGGTCTGTCACTGGATGCATATAAAAACCGTCTATGTCCCGACATCGATATGCTTGGAGCCTTCAATCACACCCTGAAGACCTCACAGGACTTGCCTGACAAAACAAGTCTCACAAGACATAAAGCAATGAACAAACTGCAAGCAGCACCTGGTCCCTTCTTTCTAGGTGGTTGAGATCCACTTGAGACCCATACACATACTGATGCATACGTGTGCTCATGCCCTCTTCGTCCTCTCCCTCAGCTGTCCCAGATATTTATATGAAGGGCAACAGCTCCAAGAGGAGGCACTGGGAAAGCCTTACCTGGGGTGGTCAGCAGGCTGGTAGCAAAGAGCACTGGGAGAGACCCAAATTTGTAGCTCCGCTCCCAGTCAGGCAGAGCAGAGCTGGAGAAACAGCTTGATTCTGCTCTGGAACTGGCTCCTTTTTTTTTTTTTTTTTAACATGAAATATTTATTGGGTAAAAATACAGCCCACTTCCACCTGCCACCTTTCAAAATAGTAAGCCCTGCTCAGTTTTTTTG